ATATATATATATATATATATATATATATATATATATATATATATATATATATATATAAAGGGATGCGACTATTCTAAAATATCTAGTAATCCTAGATCTAGTAAATATTCGAGCATTAATAAAGTCACGTGCACGTACATCATTGCATGTTATAGAATTAAAAAGGAATATTTTAAGAAATACTATACGACATACTGACTACATCTTTCTAGAACGTTCACGATGTATTAGCTGCACAGAATTGCAATTGCGTTTATGCAATGAAAGTACTCAAAAATGAATTGGAGCATTTTTCAATATATGACCAAAACGGTAAAAAATTTGACATTTTCAACTATCAGTAATAAATATTTGTCTGATACAAAAGTTTTGTAGTTTGTATAGTATCTTACAAATTGATTACCACATTTTTTATCGAATAAAGTTGCAACGTTTCAAATTACGCAGTAATCGGTCATGACAGGAACCGAAATAATAGTACAGAGCGTAACATTTATGAAATTTGGAAGAAAAAATTTGTTTTAAGCGAGGAATATATTTTTTAATATTTTTTAAATGTTAAAAACAGATTTTTTCTGTGAATTTCTCACAAAAATTATGAGAGACATTTATTTGTAGTTTTGTACACATAATATAAGTATTTATTTTAAAATGTAATTTTTGTATATTTATATAAACAATTACTACACACATATGTTAGCGGTGGCTTTCAATTCTGACAATTTAAAGCGTCGTGACCTCACCAAGAAAAAGTGTGCAAACTGATTTGCAACCGACTATACCGAACTTATTTCGTACAGAAAATTTTCAAAAAATATATTGCGTTATTATCACAGCTGAATCTAGAAGTTTAAAAATATACAAAAAGCTGGAAAAAAATTTCGGTATATGTATGATTAGATTTTCTTAAATATGGTAAAACAATATTTATGTAAAATCTATGTATGAAAACAACAAAAATACGAAAAACTCTCTTACTCTCACATTCCAATTTATTCGCATCAATGCATCCAGCGTATATTAACTAACTCTATAGATCTTATCTTTTTTTTAATTAGATGTATATCTCAAAAATGTTTAAATATAATTTAATTCCGCTAAGAATAAGGTTATATTTTTAGATGCTATATGTGAGATGTAACAGTTATATAATAAGATATGGAAAATATAGTACATTTATTTAATAAAATAAAAACAAAACAAATACTTAATTCAATAAAAGCTTTTGAGGAAGAGACATAATGTAATATCGCGAATATTTAGATCGCTTAATTTTAATTTTCCTGACGAATTATTCATTCAATTCACAAATATTTTTTTAAGTATTATATGTAAGATGTAACAGTTTCACAGTTAGGCATGGAAGATGTAGTATATCCATTTAATAAAATAAAGACAAAACAAGCACAAATAAGCACTTGACTCAATAAAAACTTTTAAGGAAAAGATAGAATTATGTGACATCGCGAACGTTTAGATAACTCAATCTTAATTTTCCTGACGAGTTATTATTTATTCAATTCGCGAA